TTGGTTTAATAAAGAGCTGAATGTCTCCAATAGCTAAGCAGGAGAGGATAGGAGGGACTTCCAGGGAGGGAGAGGAACTTGGGAAAGAACCTGAGAGGCAGAGATTTGCCAGCAAGACACAGAGGAGGTCAGATATACAGTAATGAGGAGAGGTAACAAGCCACATGGCAGAACACAGATTAATATAAATGGGTTAATTTAAGTAACGAGAGCTAGTTGGGAACAAGTCTAAGCTAGACCAAGTATTCATACTTAATAATAAGTCTCTAGGTCATTATTTGGGAGCTTATGGCCCAAAGAAAATCCAACTACAGGGAAGTATCTTGAAAGGTGCTCCTATGCAAACTCCTTAGAACTCTCTATTTCTAAGAAGCACTACAGCTCTGCCATGGTGTCTGTTAGTTGCTGGTGGCTGGACCAAGTACTTACTTAGCTATATCAGCCAAACTTTCTGTGTTCCCCAAGAGAGGGACTCTTATAGAACCCCAGTGGCATGAACTCCTAGAAACAACAGCTGTACGGTCAAGAGTATATGTTTATGATGGACTTTATGGTCAGCTACATTGCAAGAAACTTACTTTGACTCACCGAGTGTTTTTTTGTATGAGAAAATAAGTTGGCCCCTGATATACCAATTAGGAATGGGTGTCATTTGTTGATGTTTATACTAAGGATTCATAGGATTAAATTCCCAGTGGAAAGATCTCTTGTCGTACATTGCCCAAATGAAGTCATTTGCTTGCTTGAACAACTTTTATTTTATCTCTCTTCAAAAACAAAATGTTTCATGAGTCCCCTGTTTAAAATAAGTGACAGGAATAGCAGATATTTTGAGACAGAAACTTAATAGAAACTAGACTTGATGAGATTTTTAAAAACGGGTAAGACATAACATTTGTGTTAAGCCTTTAGAGTCTGATTTTATGATGGATATTCTGTCACATTTCACAGCCAGAATTTCCAAAGGAATACTTACTATCTTGCCCCCAATGCCCCCACTCCTAATTTATCCATTTGCATCACCTGTGACAGCCACTTATATTCAAAGCATCCTAATTTCGTTTCTGGAAGCAACATGGGGCAGTAACAGTTCATGGGGCAGTAACAGTCCATCAGTGGAGGAACTGAAGGCAGGATCTGTAGGCAGAAGCTGATGCAGAGACCATGGAGGAACAATGCCTACTGACTTGCACCCAACACCTTGCCTTGCTCAGCTACCTTTCTTATAGAGCACAGACCCACCTGCCTAGGGATAGCACTGCCCACAGTAGATTGGGCCTCCCCACATGAATCAGCAATCACAGAAATGCAAACAGACACTCACAGGCCAATCTGATAGAGGTAATTCCTCTTTGAGGACTTTCCAGATGTGTCAAGTTGACAACCAACATTGGCGAGCACACCAACCCAACGTTCATAAGACAATCTTTCTCCTCAACCAATCCTGATCCAATCTGGCCCAACCATCAGTAAAAACATAAGCTCCAATCTCCTCTATGCTGATATCCCTTTTGTCCATTCTATTTCCTTAACCTAAAAGTTATTTGTTCCTTTCAAAGGCCACTTTTCCTGTGAAATCACCAAGATTCCCCCTAACTAGTTACACCTCTTGTTGAGGCCCATAGAAGTGGCTCTGTTCCATCTTGATATAAAGTCAGAAAGTTTGAGCCTGTTATTGCTCCTTCAAGGTTAACAATATGTTTGGCCTAAGGTGTGGCTACTGGATGTCTTACCTTGACAACAGGATATTTGGTTTAGGGTGTGGTTACTCTGTGTTTTGGGGGTTAATGAGTTAATTACATTAGTTTGTTCTTTGTATCTTAGTAAGGAAGTCTTTTGCTTCCCCCCTTTTGATTGAGGGTATATAAGAACTTTGAGTAATAAACTTAGGGCTCATCCCAGTATTCACTGGATGCCCTCCTGACTCTATCTCTCGTCTCCAGCCTGTTTCTTTCCTCAATCCACCCTCCCCTTCTCAGTTATGAACTGGACAAGTTGGCAGGCCCTGACAGATGGCTCCTCAACATGGGCCTCCCCACAACCTCTATCTTGAATCTTCAGTATGGAATGCAGTATTGCTATTCTCCATTCCTTGAAGCTATTTATGAATCCCATGTCCTCCTTGTCAACACAAGTGCTCACCTCATGACAGGTGATAATATGGCTCTCTCACATTCAAATCCTCTGAGGTACACAAGACATTAACCTTGCATATAGGAAGAATTCAATACAACCTGAAAATGTGATTTTGTCCAAATAAAATACTACTGAGTGAGTTACAGTTTCATGGCCTTCTTTATTGTACCCATTACCTTCATACTCAAATAGATGTCTCTCAGCCTTAAAAGCTCCTAGGGAGAGTAGCAATAGTTCCTCTTTGGAATAACACTCATCAGGAAATTGTCCACCACTGGCCCATGCTTCATGCTGACTGTAAATACTGTAGTCCTGGCTTCAGTTGCAGGCTCAAGGCCAAAGAAGATGAGTATAAGAAATTCTTAAGTTGCTATTAAGTATTGATGTAAAGAGATCTGAAAAAAGTAACATCCACTATTTTCAGAAAAAATTACAGCTAGAACGTACTAAGTGACGAAAATGAGGGACTTCTCATTGGTCTAACAACTGCTTTTCTGGGACTGGAGAAGTGGCTCTCCTGCAAAGTCCACAAGTTCAAGCACGCACACCACTAGGTCATGATTGCTGGTAACATCAGATCTACGTGTTCTGGCAGCCTCTTCTGGCCTCTGTGGGCACCTACACACATGTGCACACACACGAACACACACAGAGACATTATTTTAAAAGCAAAATAAGCTTTTTTCTCTATAATGAACTGGTTTCCTAAATTGGAGATAATGATAGAATGAAAGAGGTGAGTTTTGTTGTTGCTGCTGGACTCTTTAAACTGTCCTCGTGAAATATCAGGCATGCATGTACACTCTTTAGCTCTTGTAAGTGAGGTGGATATGTGAGCATGTGTCCGGTTCTAAGCATGGAACCTCCAACTAAAACTGTCTTTAAAATGTGTGCACTCATTATTGCACAAAACGGGAACTAGACAAGCTCTTCAAAATGCTTCCATATTGTGGCACAGTGATATCTATCACCCAGACCCAGGATCTCTGGTCTCTCTGCTCTCTCATCCAGAGGCTCCAACCTGACATAAAGATTGCCACTGCTTTGTCATCGTTGTTTCTGAAAATGATATTTGACTGGGGTGCAAGGGGTAAAGTAAACATCTCTTTCCAATTATGTAAATAAAAGTCTCTTTCTGCTTTGATTGGCTCATTTTATGTCAGCTACCTAGTGCAGAACAAACATCTGTCTTCGGGGAAACACTACGTACCAATCTACTTAGATTCAGGTCTCTGAAATCAGTTCTAAAGAGGAGGTGTGGCGCCTGCGCCATGAGCAAGTCTAATGTATCGGGTGAAAGCCTCTCAATTTAAATGAAAGACAAGATGTCCAGCCGTTTGTGCTAAGAGAATGTGTGTGTTCAGCTCTTTATTGCAGGGAGGGAGCAGCCTTATATACAGACTTATGGCACAGTGGAAAAAACCCAGGTGTAAGAGCTCGTGTTTTCCCAGGTGTGGCTGATGCCAGTGCGGCAAGGCCGGGGCTGTAAGCCAGGACTAGAAAACAGGATGCACCTGTGGTTATTGGCTGACAAGCAACTCACAGAGACCCTGTGGGGGATGGGGTCCAACAAGGAGGTTAGGATTTTCACGGTTGACTAAGACCAAATTAAAACTAGGAAGAGATGTAAACTATTGCAATCATATTGATACTTTCTAAAACACACAGAAAAGAGGAATGCAGTTGATGATTTATAGGATAATAATTGTAAATATGGCCTGAAATTACTATTCAAATGCTGATTAATGACTTTTTAAACTAAGAAATTATAATTGGTTAAATACAGTTTTTTTTTTAGAGAATTTGTAATAATTTTCTGGGTGAGAGCATTACAAACAAGTGCCAACATTTCTCCACCTGGGTCTTCTTCAATGAAGAAATGGGGCTTATTTAATGGAGACTATGGCTCTTGTGAGGCACAGACCATGTCTATCTTCCCAGGGCCTGTCCCTGGCAAAAGGAAATGTTCAATTTTTTTCTGGTTGGATACATAATATGAATTATCCATTCAGTGATGGACACTTGTGCCAGAACAGGTACCAAGTGCCCGGATGCAGATGCATTGAACTATAAAGGGTGCCAAGGGGAAGGCTCTGCAAGTCAAAGGTGACCAGATATTATCAACTGCTGCCTACCTCTAAGCCAGCAACGTCTCAGAACCACAGCAAACATCTATGACAGCACTGTGGCTGAGCAAATGTACACTTTTGTTCTTTAAATTGTGGCACTCTGCTGGGGAGATAACAGCAAGGCCAGCACAAGGACTCAAGTTGGATTCCCAGAACTTAAATTAAATACACACACACACACACACACACACACACACACACACACCACAAACCAAACAAGCCATGCACCTTTAATCCCAGTACTAAAGAGGTGGGCACAGGCAGGCAGATCCCCAGACTCCCTGGCCTGCCAGCATATTCTGCTTGGCCAGTTGCAGACAATGAAAGATCCCGACACAAAGAAAATGTGGGGGGTACCTGAGGAAGAACACCCAAGGTTGTACTCTTATCTCCACAGATACACATGTGCATCTGTGTCTGCACACATGTGTCACATACCCCTCCAATGACATGAACACACACGGGAAAAGCAGGGCTTGAAACTGCCCCTCCATGAACTGTGGAAACCCCAATATCCTCCGCCACCAGTTAGTGTAGCATGGTCTCCTAAGGTCTCCTGTCAGAAGTCACCACAGACATCCCCACAAAGACACCCCAACCCACCACTGACCAAACAAAATGTGCCCTCCTAGATTTCCCTGTAGCTCGACCATAAAGGGACTGGGGGGGTACGTTCCCCCGAGCCACTGCAGTTTTGCACTTTCTGCATGGATGCTGCCCAGCTGTCACACTGACCTTCCAGGACACTGGAACTTCCCGCCTCCAAAAGCCATGAAGCAGTCCAAGAAAGCATTCTTATCTAAATTTGCCTCTTTCCAGCGTTCCTGTGGGAAGAAAACACTTTTTTCCCTAAATCAGTCTTATGTAAATAAGCTTAACTCAACTTCTCTGGGCTAAAAAGGATGCTGTACAGCTAATCCTTGCATACAGAGTTGCAGAGTTGTGGGTCATCTTTCCCCCAACCTGTTATTAATATCAGACACAATTGTGGTTTTGGAACATGAACTTATAAACAGAAAAGGCTTAACAAGAATCCTATTAAGTGGCAAATGTAAATGACAACATAAATCACCTACAGAATTGACTTAAGAAGAGGAAGAGTATTTATAATATGGCCTTGGGCTTTATCACAAAATTACTCATAACAATAAATTTAACAGCAAGACACTGACAGAACTGCTTGCTGGAGGTACCCTGGGATGTGGAATAAATACATCCGGGTGCCAGTTCTCCCAGACTTTCCTAAAGGCAAGGCATGAAAGAGATGACCTCTTAGAACGGCTCAGTCCTGTGATTCCCCAAGCACATGAAGTAACATCACTATTTTGATTTGCTGTGTTTTTATTTTGTGGGCTCCCTTGGAAACCACTAACAGAAGCAGTTGCCTAAGGAATACAAAATAAGGCTTCCTTCCAGCAGAACCAGGGCTATTGGCTTTCACGTTCCTTCCTAGGTTGGTTTTTTTTTTTTTTTTTTATTATGTATATAGCCTTCTGCCTGCAGGCCAGAAGAGGGCACCAGATCTCATTACAGATGGTTGTGAGTCACTATGTGGTTGCAGGGAATTGAACTCAGGATCTCTGGAAGAGCAGCCAGTAGTCTTAACCTCTGAGCCATCTCTCGAGCACCCTTCCTAGTTTTATATAAAAGTTCATTTTGAGGATGCTCATTCTACATTCTATGCAATCTGCAAATGTTGCAGCATCTCCATTGCAAATGCTATTAAGCCATCGTAGCCAAGTTTGGGCATGGTTACCTGAAAAATATGGCTTCTTGCTGATACAGGCTCAGTTAATTTATGCATTCATATTCTTGGCAAGAAACACAGAAATTATAAAGAATAATACATATTGAAAGAGAGCACTTACAGGTTTGAATGAGTCAGGTTCGGGAAAATATTTTGGATTTCTGTGTAGCCAGAATGGAGACACCATCAACAGATCACCAGAAGGAACGGTATGACTCTAAAATAGAAAAGTCAGCTTCAAATCATTTATTTTGAAATAAATTTTAAGGAGAGTTTGGGACATTAAAAACAAAGTTACAACTACACTGTGAAAGAGAGATATTTTATAGTAAGTGTGAGAAAAACCTAACTTTCCTGGCTAGGTCTCCTCCCTCTCCCTTTTCTTCTCTCTCTCTCTCTCTCTCTCTCTCTCTCTCTCTCTCTCTCTCTCTCTCTCTCTCTCTCTCTGTGTGTGTGTGTGTGTGTGTGTGTGTGTGTGTGTTTATGCCATGGCATATGTATAGCAGACAGAGGACAACTTGTGGAAGTTGGATTCTGGGAATTGAATTTAAGTATTAGGCTTGGTGGCAAGTACCTCAAGTACCTTTACCTGTTGAGCCATCTCACCAGCCTTAATGTTGTAGGTGCAGGGTCTCTTGCTGAACCTGGACCTAATGGTTCTGGCTGCACTTTTGGCTTACAAGCCCCTGGGATCTGCCTGTCTCTTTTCCCCAGCATTGTAATCGTGAGTGCTCACCTCCATGCCTGCCTTTGCTTGTGGATGCTGGGGATCTGAACTTAGGTCTTCATGCTTGCAAGACAAGTCCTTTTACAAACCAAGCAACCACTCCCGCCTTTTCCCTGGATAGATCATTTCTATGGTCAAATGAGGAGATGACTAATTTCTAATTCTGCTTGCTAGTCACTTGTACACACATGTTTGACTATACAGAGGGAGTTCTTAGTTAAATGTCAGCATCTTATTTTCTTAAATATTTATTTTATTTTGATTATGTGTCTGTCTGTGTACATGAGTGCAATATTGTAGAGTCCAGAAGAGGGCATTGGATTCCCCTGGAGCAGGAGTTACAGGCAGTTGTGAACTGCCATGTGGGTGCTGAGAACCAAACTTGGGCAGTACAACAGCAGTACATACTCTTAACCACTGAGCCATCTCCCCAAGACTGACTTTTTAAAACTATGTGTATATGTGCGTATATGTATATGAGTGCTAGTGACTGCAGAGGCCAGAGAGGGTGTCAGATTCTCTAGACCTGATACTGCAGGCAATTGTGAGCTACTCAGCTTGGGTGCTGGGAACCAAACTAGGCAGGCAAGAGGTACAAACACACACACACACACACACACACACACACACACACACACACACACAGAAACACACACTAGTATATGTGTGCATATATACATACACATGTATATGTATGTATGTGTGGGGGGTGTTGCATGATGAATATGCAAAAAGAAGATTGATCACCACACCTCAGTATTATTAATAATTAGTATAACTAATTAAGCAGTCATTGTTTTCTCTTGTTTATTTTTTAATAAAGATACTTTAAAATTTAAAAAAAATCAACAAAACAAATCCAATAATATATAAAAAGAATCACTAAGCAATGGTTGAGGAGGCACCCTTTGCCAATCTCTGTGAACCTCTAGACTCCAGAGGCATAACACACACACACACACACACACACACACACACAGAGAGAGAGAGAGAGAGAGAGAGAGAGAGAGAGAGAGAGAGAGAGAAAAAGAACAAACCACACACTACGATCAAGTGATTTATCAGAGAAGTAAAAGGCTGATTCAATATTTGATTATTAGTAAATGTAACCCATATCAACGGGACAAACATGGAAAAGCACATGGTTCTATCAATTGATACAGAAAAGCGAGAAAGAAAATTCAGCACTGACTTATTATTAACAAACCTCTCGGCAAAGTAGAAATAAAATGTCTTGAACTTGACAAAGAGCATCCATAAAATTTCTATACCCAGCATGGTACTTAATGGTGAAAATGAAAGGCTTTCCCCTTGAGATCAGGACAAAGCACTGCTGGACACTTCAGTAGCCAACAAAGTGCTAGAAACTGCAGCCAGTGTGATTGCAGGAAAACAAAACAAAAAGACAGAAAGAAAAATAACACCTACATCAAAGAAGTCACCAAAATCTACAAACATCCCTAGCTGTTGGCTGGGATGCAGCTTGGTGGTAGAGTGTTTGCCGAGCATGCACAAGGTCCCAGATTCCATCCCTGTTACCATAGAAACAAAGAACAATGGCATTTCTACAAACAGTTTGTAGAAAACTGAAAACTAAAACTTTAAACAACAACAAAAGACCATAAATAAGCTAGTCAGAGCAGATCACACTATAATCCTAGTGCCTTAGAGGCTGAGGTTGGGGAGCCATCAAGAGTTCAAGGCCAGCATGAGGCATATAGATGTTCTCCTCAGAATAAGACCCTGCTTCAACACCCTGCCCCAAACAACCATTTACAAAAGTTCTAAAATGAATGAAACATTAGAAATAAATATTTCTTAAAATTCTGTTTGCTGGAAAGAGCCATCAGGAAACCCACTGACGCAGAGAGATCTACACCAAGTCTGGGATTTATTTTTTTAGCCAGAGAACAAATAGCGGCTGGTGAGAGCTCAATCAGGATTATACTGCAATTCAGAGGAACACATTTCTCTGCTTCACTGCAGAAAGCAGACAATCCCCTCTCAGAGTACCTTCACAGTTGGAAGTAATCAATAGCTTACTTAAAAGTAAAAATATCTATATCCCAATAAAACACAATGCTATTCTTGATGTAAGATCATTGAAACTAAGTTTGTCTTCATGGGGGTGCAAATGTTTTAACTGTTACAAACTGAGACTTTTATCTCTTTTGTGCTCTATCAAAATTCCCTGGAATCAACCCCAAAACTCTCAAATTGTGTAGAAAAAGGGTAAAAAAACAGAATGAAGGGAACCCATGTGGTCTCCCTGGGTAATGAAGGCCCTTGAGCCAGACAATCTTGGTTCTGGTGATTGAGTCACATATATTTCACTGGGGTCTGCCAGGTGTACAGACTCTACAGGGTGATCTGGGGAAGTCTCCCCCAGTCTGTCCTCACTCTACTGCCATTCCCGTGCCAAGCTGATCCATGCCCTTCTTGCTCTCTTCTCATCTGTGTCCACCTGTGGCTAGAAACTTCTTCCCGTCATTCAGAGGCACTTCTCTCATGCCCTGCTCCTGCACTAAGATACTTGTTGAGAATCAGAGTGCAGGAAATGGGCGTCTATGGAGTGCACGCCTAGAAATGGTATGTCTCTAAGTCCATACGGCATCTCCTTGTGGCTGCAAGGCTCAGGGAAGAGCCAGGAAGAGGGAGTGGTGGATTATGAGACAGAGACTGGGAAGGAATCGAGGGCCTTCTGGACATGGAGGAGCTGTTGCACTCATAAGCTCCTGGGCAGCTGTGTTGCCTGCTCAAGATCTGCGCAGGCTCAAGCCAACATGGATGGGGGAGGGGGAACAAGTCCCCACCCCTAGCTGAGGAGCTATGTACAGCTAGTGACTGCCAGGGGAGGAGGAATCTACTTTCTTTAAGGTGTAGCCTCTGGTAGGTTAGCCAGGCCCTACATTCATGATATATGAGCAGCACTCACTATATTCAGTGGGTTAACTAAAAAAAGAGGACACCAAGCTTGGAAGGAGACGTGGAAAGAGATCTGAGAGGAGGGGGTGAATGTGACTGAAAATCAGCATACGCATATATAAAATTCTCAAAAACAAAGTTTTAAAAATAAATACTGAGTGTTGAGTCAGCTGACAAAAGGCCACCTGCTTGGCTTACACAGTATTATATAATCGATGCAGAATCACATGGCCAAATTTCTACTTGAAGGGTTATATGTTAGAGAAAATGTTTTCCAAAAGACAAATCTCTCTCTGAGTGAGATAGTGTCACTTTACTTAGTGTTTCAAACTGTTCTAGGGTCACTAAGAACTCATGGGAACTTAGTGACCCATATAAATAATATACACTATCATAATACAATGACATTTTCCATTGGAAAAATGAAATGTTAAAATTCACATGAAATCATGAAAGTCCCCGAATAGCAGAAGGAATCTTAACCAAAATTAACAAAGCTGGAGGCGGTTATCATATGACCTAAAAGGTACTATAGGTCTACAGTAATCAAAATGGCACAAAACTAGACACACAAACCAACAGAAGAGAGACCTGAGATCAATCACACATTTATAACATTATAAAGGTGCCGAGAATAACTAAGGCCTTAGTTATACAGAAAGATTTAGTTTAGAGTAATCCAGTTTGTCTTTTACTTTTGTTGTTTGTCTGAGCTTTTGGATTCCTCAAATCCTCATTTTCCAGATCAATATCAGAGAGGTTTTCTTCTATGCTTTGTTGTAGTAGTTTTACATTCTCAAGTGTAATCCATTTGAGTTGATTTTTATATATTATATGAGATAAGAACCTAATTTCTTTCATCTGCATATTGATGTCCAATTATCCCAACACCATTTATTAAGAAAACTGGCATCTTCCCATTGGATATTCTCGGACAGACAACCTACGGGATATGATGAGATAGGTGTGAAGCACATAGCTGATAAAAGGTTAATGTTCCCAACACAAGAAGCTCAAGCAACTCCATAGTAAGAACTAAAGTGATCTACAAAATAGGCAAAGAACTAAGCAGACATTGAGAATCCCAACCTCATGGGATACTATCTCAATCTTGTTAAGAGTTTGTATAATCCCAAAACACAGAAGTATCAGAGGACAAACACAAAAAGGGAACCACTGGAGACTGAAATGCCCATTAGTATAGATAGCCATGTAGAAAATAATATAGAGGTCCCTCAAAAGATTAATAGTAGAACCAGTGTGTGATCAAGCTACGCAGCTGCTGAGCTTACAGCCAAAGGATGTGAAATTAACATGTCAAAAAGATAATTTCACCTTCATGTTCACGGCAGCATGCTTCACAGTGACCGTAACACGGAATCAAAGTGTGTCAGCCTACGGATGAAGGAAGAGGCTGTGATACACATGTGGATGACGAAATGTCCTTCAGCTTTTTAAAAGATGGAAATTCTGCAGCAGCACAGAAGAAGCTTGAGGACAAATAAGCCAGGCACAGAGGGACAAGAGCCTGACAAGCTCAACAGCCAAAATTCAGCTCATTGAAGTAGCATTTAGAAATGTAGTTACTGGGGGCTAGGAGGTAGGAGACTTGAGGAATGTTGATCAAATAATACAAAATTCCATTTCAGCAGTGGAATGTGTCAAAGAGCATGGTACACCATGTAGTCACTCGAGTTAGAAAGACGGTACTCACTGCTCATAGAGTACACAGAGATTTTCACACAAGAATGATCAAATGTGAAATAATGTAAAGGCTAATGAATTGATTTGGCCTATACAAAACGTGTACATATTTCAAAGCATGCTGTATCTGACAAATATACTTTCTATTCAGTTATAATAAATTAAAGAAATCAATAATATGTCAATCTGGAGAACCTATGAAGAAAACATGTACTTTTTCTAGAAGGTTCATCATTTTCAAACAAAAGCAGAGCTTACCAGAATTTTAACTGGCTTCACTACTTTTCTAGTAATGACACCAGGGGCTCTCAAGCGTATGGCTTCCAGAACACACCACTTAATTAGAGGGAGCTTCTTCAAGTCATCTTCAGACACTTTAATCTTATATTTACCTGTAAAGAAAATTGTTTAAAGATTAAAGAAAAGATGCGATAGAGAGACCAGAAGGTGGTTTTGAGCAGGCTCGTCAATGCAGGATAATCTCACCAACAAGGAAAGTGTTGTGGGGTGGACTGATTTGGGTTCCCTTCTATTTAAGGATGGACTGGTACCAACCCTAGCTGTAACAGTCCTGTGGCTACAGAATGGCTAAGGTGGTCCCTGTCTGGAAAGGCGTTCAGTTTTTCCTCAACTTATTCTTCCTTTCCCATTGCACTTAAAGAAATAGCACTAAAAGACTGGCAGCAGAGGGGAAAATACAACAGGCCAGTAAAGTAAATGCTTCCAAAAAGTGCTGGACATACTTAGTCATTGGGGAAATGCAAATCAACATTGCCTGAAGGGTCTGGAAGATGCTCAATTGTTAACGATTTGCCATGCAAGCATGGGTACCTGAGTTTGGACCCCCAGCACTTATGGAAAAAGCTAGGGTGGGGCTAAATGTCATCACTAGGAAGCAGAGATGGAGGGTCCATGGAGTTTGCTGGCCAGCCAGCCTAGCAGAATCAGTGAGCTCCAGGTTCACTGAAACACCCTGTCTTGAAAAAATAAGGTAGAAAAGAAATTGTAGAAGACATCCACCATTGACATTTGGCTTCCACAAGCAGATTACAGAATGTGCCAGAGATTCTGATGCCTTCTTTTGGCCTCCACAGGAACTGTATACACCTGATGCACCTATATACATGTAGGTAAAACACTCATACACCAGTGTTTTTTGAAGTTCTAGAGATCATTACATTGCAAAATAAACCCAACTGTGAAAGATAACTATCACCTTGCTCTCATGTGCACTTACATATTCATACACATATATCCATACAAACATACACACATCTAAAAACTACCTTAGGATTACATCTCATTCCAGTAAGAATGGCTGGCATCAGACCAACCAAAACAAATCTTGGCATTATGTAGAGTAAGCAGAGCCTGTTCACACTGCTAGTGGAATATCCTCACGAAACTAAAACAGCAAGTACCACATGATGCAGCTCTGTGACTCCTGGGTATGTTCCCAAAGAACTCTAAGCCAGCACGCCATATAGATACTTGCATATCCACGTTTATTGTTGTTCTGTTCACAATAGTCGAGATAGGGAAGCGGCCTAGACATCCGTCAACAGATAAATGGATACAGAAAATGTAATGCACATACACAGTGGAATTTTATTCGGGTGTAAAGAGGAATGGGATGGGATTCACTGGAGAATGGATACAACTGGAGATTACTGGGCAGGAAAGATGGCTCAGCAGTTAAGAGTCCTTGACGATCTTGAAGAGGGTCTGGGTTTGGTCCCCAGAACTCACAACCACCCATGACTTCAGTTGCAGGCAGATCCAACATCCTCTTGCAGCAACAGGCAAGCGTATGGCACACATACAGGCATACAGGCAGACACATACACATAAAATCAAAATAAGTAAGTCTTTTCTAAGTGATGGAGATCATTATTCAAAATAAGCCAGACTGGAAAGAAATATATGGCTTGTTTTCTCTCGTGTGCAGAATCTATATTGAAATGTATATATTACACATACATATGATATGACGGTAGAAAGGAACGAGGAGAGGGAAGAAAGAGGTCTGGGGGAGAGCAAGAGAGGGTGATGAAATATATAACCATGTGGGGGAGTCAGTAACAGGAAAAGTCAGGTGGGTAAAAGCAATGAGGTGGCAAAGAAGAATAAAGTATATAAAGAAAGATATTTGCGTATGAAAATATCACAGTGAAGCTCATTTCTTTGTATGTTAACCAAAAAATTAACCTTAAAAGATGCACACACGGAGACACAGAGAAACACAGGCACACATATGCACACACACACACGCACACACACACATACTCAGATATGAAAAGTGACCTGGCCTCCCTTCCCCTGATGGTTTGTTTTTGTTGTTTTGGTTTTAGGAATTGGAAACCAGGTCTGGCCTTGAACTAAAGATCCTCCAACCTCATCCTTCTGATAGCTCTGACTGAAGTCATGCATCACCATATTCTGCTCCACTGATATTATTTTACTTTTCTATTTAATCAGTTATTATAGACGACCCAAAGACAGTGACAGTGGGGTAGGAGTAGGGGTGACCTCTGCAGTGAAGAGCATGCTCTCTCAACACAGACACACCAGATTTTCCTAAGTTGAACAGATGAAGATACCTAAAAAAGGAATAGAGGTCAATCTTTACATGGCCTAAAGTGTGGTCATGGAATTTCAGTCAGATTATACAACTTAATGGTGAACAATTCAAGGAAAAATGCATTTTGAAAATTCCTCAGAATATCACTGCTTTCAATCTGGTCCTGACATGTCTAACTTAGTAAGCTACCATGACAAATCTACCCAAGTGGATTCCTGTGTCCCCTTCCATCTCTGTCTCGGCACAGGACCAGAGACAACGAGCCAGCTGACCATGGACAGATCCTAAGGAACCCTGAGCCAAAAGAAGTCTTTACTCCTTGAAGTTTGTCCTCTCACAAAAGATGACTTAAAATATCAGTGGAGCAGAACATGGGGCACAGGCCTTTCATCCCATTGCCAGAGAGAGAGAGAGAGAGAGAGAGAGAGAGAGAGAGAGAGAGGTTATGTCTGTGAGTTTGAAGCCAACCTGGTCTACATACCAAGTTCCAGACCAGATGGAGCTACATAGGGAGTTTCAAAATTAAAAAATCAAAATAAATAAAATCAAAATAATAAATAAAGCAAAAAATAAAATCAGTTGCCATCAGTGATAGGAGGCTATTTTCCCTCAGACATGTCAGGTGCCAAGCGTGTGTGTGTGTGTGTGTGTGTGTGTGTGTGTGTGTGTGTGTGTGTGTGTGTGTGTGTGTGTGCGCGCGCGCCATCCTGTTTTTCAATCTGTTCCATTTTCTCTGTGCTGAAAACATCTCCTGGGTACCAAATAGAAAGGGCAATTAGGTAACACATGTCACCTAAGGGAAAAATCCCTTGGAATTCAAGTAAAACAGACACTGGAAAGAAATCCTGACAGCATATGTGTGCCCTTTTGTCTACAAGCCAGCCTAACTCAAGAACCACCCATCTATTTCCATGTATGTCTTCCTATGCTATTTACGGAATTAAAATTCATGTGAGCTGTGTATCACAGCAACCTACATGAACTGAAAAATAATAAGGATACATCATTTTTGTTAAAAATAAGTTGGATTGGTTGAGTAATTCAGTAATAAGGGAGAGTTTGGGGGATTACATGATAGGCCAGCCATTACTGATAACTGAATGGACCAAATATCTGTAACTTCTGGTATCTGAATATTTTACATAAAACAAAAAAAAACACAGATAAATAGTTAAATGTGGTATGGTAAGTGATCTACATCAAGCTGGAAGTGTGTGTGGCAACACCAAACTAAAATGTACAGAGACAATAAGAAGACAAGGGAGGAAAGAAAATGAGGCAGGGGTGAGAGAAGGAAGCCCTTTTGCAGTATTATTAAGCTATGAAAGCCTGTTGGTTATAGAAAAACTACAGTGTGTGACCGAAAGAAGAAGGGGATGTCCCATTGTCCCTGGAATCCTGGTTCCTGGGCCTCTGCTCTCTGCCTTCTGCACATCCTCCTTTCTGCAATGGGCTGCCTCACTCATACCACCCAGATCACTGTTGTCCCAAGTAGCATCTCTAAGTGTTAGTAGACTTTATTAAAGCGTTAAAACTATGAGACAAGGGAAAGGCAAAGCAATGTTGCTGTTGGAAACAACCTATGGTGGAAAGTCCTGCCTGCCATCCAGGCTCCCAGAGAGTCAGCCTCAACTATGAGGCTGTGAGCCACTGGCCATGGAGCCAAGGCTCGCCCAGAAGCCCATGGCTATGGTCAATTCAGAGATGGGGAATGTTTGGTGATTAGTAGAAATGGGAGATCTGAGACAGGCTTCAAACCAGTTTCTTCTTGATCCTAAAAGCCATGGGAGACCTAGCCAGCCAGCTAGGTCCCTACATAAACAGACATGACAGGTAAGTTAGCCTGCCCCTCTAATTCAGACCCTAACTCTGGCTTCTCCAAAAGACTGGTTTCCCCGAAAATAACTATTTGCAGAAATTGTATTTCAACAAATTTACCACCTATTCCTTCCTGCTTTTTTTTTTCTGTTTTAGTTCACTATTGCTATAGCATACAGATAATAAATATTTTTCTGCTAGACCAAAGGTAGGTGGTGACCAACAGCTGGGGTTAATGCTCCGCATCAGATGTGGGGGATTCCAACGGGAACCATCCTGGTCATTTATCATCATTGTCACCCTGACAAGAATCACCTAGGAGACACGCCACTGCCCCTGACTGTGACAGCATTTCCACAGAGGGTTAGCTGAGGAGGAAAGACTCATCCTGAATGTGTGTGGCACCATTCTGTGGACTGGAGCTGCATATCAAAATAAAAAGGGGAAAAAGAAGGAAGTGAGCACCGGTATTCATCCCTTTCTGCTTCCTGGCTGCAGACATATGACCAGCCACCATGCACTTCGGCCTCCACGGTTTTCCTTCGTGGTGGGCAGATCCCTTCAAACCTCATCCAGGAGAAGCCCTTCCGCCCTTCAGTTGCTTTGTCTAATATTTTGTCACATCAACACATCTCCCCATTTTAGCATCTCCCTGTTCTAACACATGCATGGCTGACCTTGGCTAGACCAGCAGGTGAACCATCTGTCTGTTTGAACTTAGTCATGGTCAAGTTTCTTACCTCCTTCAGAGAAATTTTTTTAAGTTTTTAATCCTAAGTGTCACTATTAGACTATTTGCACTGTAGAAACATTTTATATCACATTACAGAATATAGAAACTGAAAGCTTGTTTCTAGTAGGAAATTGCTAAAACTATGCCATGCAAGCGTATAAGTGATATGGAAAACAAGTGTTTTAACCGTGTATTTTTAGTTTCTCAAGTCCCAGTGTAATGTGGGAAAAAATGAAGTAGTATTCTTGGACAAGACAAAA